AAAACATGACATCCTTACGTAAATGATTTGTGAACTACCACACTGCAGGTAGCTATTTCTTTAGTAGTTTTCATGTTCCAACATTACGTAAATGGTTCGTGTAAACAGCCACTGCAAACGGCTTTTCGTTAAAGCGCGTAATTGTTCCTTGGTCTGTCCTTGCGTATAAACGCTTCGTAAATGATCACAGCCACTGCAATTCTCTATTCATATAAGCGATTACATTTTGCGTAAGTGTTTTGTAAACGATCACTCTCTCAAACGGCAGTATACACTCTTACACGTTCCGTGACGTACTTGCGTAGACGCTTCGTAAACGATCACACTGCAAATCGCTATTCATATCAGCGTTTACATGTTGCGTCCTTGCGTAAATGCTTTGCAAACTATCACTCCGCAAACGCCTATTTATCGTAGCGTTTACGTGCCACGTTCTTACGTAAACGTTTGTGTAAACTAAACGAACACGCTGTAAACATCTATTCACGCAATTTGATCTTTTTGTAGTTGATATTCTCTGGCGAGTATACCGTGGCAATGAATCGAAGTTGGCATCTTGGGCATTTTAGATGTCAGCGATGTGACTCAAGCATCACAGGTATAGCCCTCTTGTGTTGAAGTTCTGTCCGCAACTTTTCTCGAAACAGCGTAGCAAAACAAGCTAATAGGGGTTTAACAGCGCCTTATAATAGTCTCCTTCACGGTTTTCTGTGTCATCTTGAAAGGTAGCCGTGCCTTTACATCGAAGCGAGAGAACCGTTGAGCGTGCAATGATAGATACCTGTGAATAATGTCTGTAGATGTGAAAGAAGGTTTCTATCATTGCACGCTCAACGGTTGTCTCGCTTCGATGCAAAGGCATGGCTACCTTTCAAGATGGCGCAGGTAATCGCAGGTAACCGTGAAGAAGACTATTTTAAAGTTTGCGATTGAAGTTGTCGGCGTGTGATTCTGCAAAGGAAGGTCGTGGTATACTTATGCAACGCATCATCATCATCATCATTATCATCCATAATAGATTGTTACAATGGTTTTCTTTGCTAATGACGTCATGTGTTTTTTGGCGAAATGCATCATGGGTTGATAAAAATATCAAGATGGCGGACGTCTCATCAAACCTACGAAGGACCATTATGATGGACGTGGTTTCTTTGTAAAATTGCCGTTGTCCATTGTGGAGAATACTTTAGAGCATACTTAAGTGTGTAGATATCTTATTTAACGTCTTCGCAAAGTGTTTTTTACAAGGGATAAGTCTCATTTCGCAACCTCGCGTCGTACATTTTATGTTACATATATAAAACATGAGCGGGAGACCTTTATACTATACATAAACCTGATAGCTGCAAGAGAGCAGTTTTAG